CATTATAAAAGTACACGGGGAAACGTTCTAGGAAAGCTACTTATCTCATTGGGGTTTTACTTCAAGCACCTGGTCCAAGGAGGAAGGTTCTCCTATTGGCAAGACTAACTAATAAGTGTTTTCCTCCCACCACCTGACCCCACCGCAGGTTTTGTCCTCTTTGTGGTGTTAGCCGGCATCCTTGGCATCGTCTTTGTCACCATGGTGGCCTTCTGGCTGATTCGAAGGAAGAGGTAAGACTTCTGCTCCACTTCCTCTTTGTCTGGAGTCCTGCATCCCCTCTGCTAACACCTTTCTGCCCCCTGAGCAGACCTGATCCCCTTGGGTCCTTGGAATATCCAGAACTAACACTCTTTCTGCAGTCCCTGGGCTTCCTCCCCTTTCCTGGGTCTGAAAGCAATGCCATCGCTTGCTGTTTGGACACATTTCACCAGAGGCTCCAAAGGAGATGGAGGACAGGGAGGCATCAGAAATGGTATCACCCTCGGCTTAGATTAAGGGTATCAAAGCATGGCCACTTTAAGACTTGTGGACTTGAATGCCCGGATTTCCCCAGCCAGCCTGGGGAAGTTCAAGTCCAAAGGTCTTAAAGTTGCCCCAGGGTTGAACACTCCTTAGATGGTTGTTCTTCCAAGCAGCAGAGTCAGGAGAAAGCATCAGGTGCCAGACTACCTGGCCAGAAGGGACAATTCCCACCTCCAGCAGAGAAATGCTCGAGTCCACTCAGCATGAGCTTTTTGGTGTGAATGACAGTTCACAAATCACATGTATTTGCATTCAAAAATAGATAAGCCCTTTTGATCTCCTGGCCACTCCGGCTCAGTAAACAACAGCTCTGGGACATAACTGCCTCTCAACGTTGGCTAACTCCAGCTTCTCCTTCCCAGCCTCCAAAGGGCCAAGGAAGAGAAAGGGGTAATCTACAAGCCCGCAGTCACCAAGGAGGAAGAGGAGGAGGAGAACATCTCCAAAGCTTAAACCTCTGCAATGCTCAACTTTAAATATTCTTAACAGCTGGATGAGCCAAGCGTTGCCATCTGTCTTGTCATGTTTATCAGCCAAGTTGGTTCTCTGGATCCCTCAAGTGCAAAGAGGGCTCTGCTCCCTTGTGTACAGGATTTTAATGGGCGGAGACAGGCGTTAAAAAGATCTCCCTCCAAATAAATCACATAACTTCTAGGAGAGGTTCTGGGCTTTGCTTAACATTATAGCTTGTAAATGTGATATTTATGAATAATAATAATCTGCCTCAAAAAAAGCTACTGTTTATCTACTGAATAGATGAATTTCCTTCCTGTTCCCATAAAATAATTACTGCTGATATTAGGAATAGATCACCAAGATACCTAAGTATTAATGTTAACGTCTTAGAGGAGGGGTCCCCAAATTTGGCAATTTTAAGAATTGTGGGCTTCAACATTGCCCAGCATGTCTGGCTGAGGAATTCTGGGAGTTGAAGTCCACAAGTCTTAAAGTTGCCAAGTTTGGAGATCCCTGTCTTAGAGGCATAAATGTGTAGTTCAGTTCTCTTTGAAGTCCTACTGATTTTAACAGGAATTAAATCTGTTTAATCTCTTCTATTTAAGTCTAAAATAAGCTATATCAAGCATGACTTCTAAGAAATACATGGGTGCTTATCCTGTGATGTCGAATTGTGGCTGTGTGCTGTACTTGCATCTCTGGAATTGAAGACCATGCATCTCAGGTTTTAAGAACAGTGCCAGGCTGAAGGCAGCTAGTCCAAGTAGTCAATGAGCAAAACGAAGGTCAAATGAATACTCTGATACTATCTACTCTGAAATTAGGGGGAACTAATATTATTTGAGGGCTCCAAGCACCTTGTTTCCTTCCTACAGTGACTTATAGGGAAGTTGCCGGTTTGAAGTCTATTATGATGAAAGTCTCTTATAGATAATGTGCAATTTTATGTATCGTCATACAATAAATATTTTTATTAAGAGCTTTGAGTTTATGTCTCTCTCACACACACAAATGTACTGAGAAAAACCAAGTGAACTTGGTTGAGAGCCAGACTATATTTACACTTTGTATTTTCTGAACTATCCATCAAGCTCTCCAGCACTCGTAAACCACAACAGAGACTTTAACATCAAAATTGTTAGCTAAAGGTACCAAAATAGTCACCTAAAGGGTTTGAGACCACATCTTGGATCTCAGTGAGACAAGGAAACAGGTACAGTTCTCCAACACAGCTACACCCTTGGCTGCAGCCACCTCCAGAATAAGCACCTTCCAACACTCTCCAGAATTACCCAAAACTTGGGGATCTGCAGCCGATGAGATCAGGATGCGCCTTTCTCAAGGAGCGGAGTGGGTGAAAGCCCCGGCTCCCCTGGCTCATTTCAAAGCAACTCAGTGCATCTTACTTGGTAAGAGTGCCAAAGGAGCTGGGCTGCCCCACTGGACGTTTTATATGCAGACAGCTCCTTTATTCCGCAAGGTGGGACATTCAGCCAGGTAACATGAAGCACAAGCTTTTTCAAATCCAACCAGCAAAAAGCAAGAAAGGCGACTGCAGAATTGAAAACGTGAAGCACGGACAGGTCTTTAGGCCAGTATTTCTCCACCTTGGCTACTTTAAGATGGGTGGACTTCAACTCCCAGAATTCCCCAGCCAGCTCTGGGGAATTGCCCAGCCTAAGTTGAGGTCCACATGCCTTAAAGAAAAACTTCTTCCAGACAAACACAGGCTTTGCGGTCCTTTTTCCCCAGCCAAGATTTAAAATGTACGTTTGTGTTTTCACAAGGATTAAACATAGAGCACAATAGCATTAATAATGATTACAGAGCCTTATGGAAGCTAACCACAATTCACATTTGGAGCAGGCAGAAAACCAAGGTCAATGAAGTTGAAAGAAAAGTGTAATGTGAGGGCGAAAGAGGAGCAAGGGTGGATGGTTTGCAGGATTCTCCTTTTGAGGAAGGATTCTCCTTTTGAGGAAAGCCATCCTTTTCAAAACCCAAGCAAAACAAAAGCGAAGCTGATTTTGTGTATAAATAACAATATGTGTAATACACATCATTTACACACACTACTGCAAGACAGTTTGTTCCACCTACCTGCCAGTGCTGGCAGTGAAGATCCAAGGACCCTGGCGTGCAGAATGTTGAGCTCATCCATGGCTTACAAGCCACAACAGTAAGGTCCCATCATCATCCTAAGCCACAACCAACCACATTATGATTTAAAGGGAGACAACCTCACCGTGATGTAGCAGAGTGCCTGGATAGTAAGCTAGTCCTAAGCCAGCTGAGTGGCTGGACCAGTGCTCTGCTGCCCCCTGGTGGGCTCCAGAGGCGGGTCAGTCTGTCCATCCAACAGCAGCCTTGTAAACCTCTTGGGACTGAAGCGCCCCAAATTCCTCAGCCCCCCCCCCCCCAATGTCCACAAGGCAAAGCTGTGGAAGAATACCACAGGCCACGTGGTGCTATCCAAATGCCATTCTGGTCCACCCTCATCCGTGGACATTCTCTAAGTGATTCTGGGGCGCCCTCATGCCAGTTCATTTGTACATAAAGTCATCTGTAAGGCCACAGGAATGCACTCAACATTTTCCAGAAGTTGTGTAACTTTCCTGCTAATTGTGATTTACTCTAGAATGTAATTTATTTTAATTTTTTAGAAAAATTAAACGGTAACATTAGAATACGGCAATACCAACGCAGAGATCCATTTCAGTATATTTGACCTTACGACATTTCCCATTTCAGCATTTCTCTAATTACCAAATCCTTTGTCCATTTTAATTGCAGTTGAAAGCCTTGCAAACTCTAACCAAATGAGTGACAGACACATTCAGCGCAACATACCAAGGTGGCTACCAGTCATAATGGATTTTATTCTTTCTGAAAATAAGACGTGGGAAAGCACTTGGTACATGTACATACCCCATTTATTAAAAAAAAAGCTGGCAAGTATTATACAAGTACTATACAGAGGATGTAAGTTCAGAAGTTTCTTTTTATGGCCTCACATGCAGCCCCGGAGCCTGGAAATGGAACTGGGCAGGTAACCCTTAAGAATCCTTAAAGTGGGAGAGAAGAAGATGGCCATGATGAAGGGACGGGCCCCCTTCCCACCCCAGCACAGGGGCAGGACTCCAGAAACAGGGGAAGGAAAAGTCCTCTTCTCACGGGGAGCAAGGTCCAACGGCCTCCCCCCCCCGAAGAAGGGCCAGAAGACCACAGCCCAGCCCACCAGGCAGGGAGCCCCTCCGGGGTGGGCTTCAGCGCTCAGTGCTAGCCAGGGCTGGCTTCTGAGGGCCCCCGCTTTGCAAGGGGCCTGCTCTGCTCATGCGAAGGAGGGGAGGTCAACCCCACCGCCATTGTTGACCGCCTGGCCAGAGCCTTCCGTGGCCTTTCCTCAACTGGCTGCCCATCAGATGTGCTGTGCTGCAGCCAACCCCGAGTGATGGGAACAGCAGCCCGGCACATCTGGAGCACCCAGACTGGAGAAGGAGAAGAGGCAACAGATCTCTCTTGAGAAGCTTTCCCTACCACGAAGCCAGGGCGGGGAAAAAAACCAGCAGGCACCTTGGCCTTCACGTGGCTGCAGAGGTGATTCCTTTTCCTTAAGACTAAGGCTGTTTTCAGGTGAACGGTCTCTTAAAAAAATCCAGCAGGGAAGAAATAATTCTGTCGTTAAACAACCAACAGGAACAAAACCTAAACTTTAACATTATAAAGGAAAGTTAATTGTGTGTTAACCTTACAACACCAAACTTAAAGTGAATTTCCTATGGTCTTACTCAAATTATGTACACTGTAGCACAGCTAGAAGTAAGAAAATAGCATTTTTTTTTAATAAAACAGAGTAGATACCCCAATATGCTGCTGCTTCAAAAAGCACTTTATAACATTCCAACTAGTTGCAGGCTCTCTCAAGGGAACGTTCTCAGAGACGAAGCGTCTGTTGGCAGAACCCAAGATATGGGAGAAAAGGACACCAAGAGGAAAGCCGAGGGAAGGAAAGACGGAACGACAGTTTGGGTTTCATGACAATCCTGAGAGGGAGGATTTGAGGGTGGGCACGCCCTGTGGATACAGCCCCCCCCATCTCAAAGAAAGCACTGCACCGTTTGGGCTGAAGGGGAGGATGAGGCTGACTCTGCCTACTTGCTGACCCTCAGGGGGGCATCACAGCCATTTCCGAAGGGCCCAACGGAGGAGCTGAAGACAGGAAGGCCTGCCAAAATAGCTCACCTGCTTCAGGTGTCCCCAAACAAGACTGAGGTCAGTGCTCAGGAATGAAATACTGTACGGTGAACAGAGTGGACTGCGGGAAGGCAGCGCTTCCCAGGGCAGGTGGGGGAGCCAGGAGCCGCCCCGCGCAAAGGGTTGGTTTGGCACGTCAATAAAAGCAAAGCACCTGTTCAGAGGAGTCCGGTTGCGGCATTGCACACCAGGCCCGGAATGGAAAAGGCAGCTCAGTGTCAGTCTGCTTAAAGCTCTGAGTCGAGATCTGCGTCTTCAAGACCCAAGGAAAGTCCTCATCAAGTCATCGCTGCCTTTCGACGGGGACCCAGGCTGCGCCCGCCCGGCCTTCTCTATCAGCATTCAAAGAGCCACCGCACCTCATGCAGGGAGGAAAACCGGGCCCTGGGTTCAACCAAATGCCCCAGGAAGCAGACCCGAAGCCTCCATAGAGCCAGATTAAGGAACAAGAGCGAGGGGACATCCAGGACCCAGAAAGGGAACCTCCTGCCATCAGAAAAGCAAATTCATTTCGACCGACACAGGTTTGTGTATTTGTTAAACCATCTGAACCCCACAGGAGCTTTTAAGTGGTTTGAGTTTCCTACCTCCACATTATGGTGGCATTGTTTATTGGCATCCCTGGGGGAAAAAAGGTTCAGAACGTGTGCCCACCGTACGTGTACCCCAGTTTCCCACAAGTCCCAGTTCCCCTTTGAAGGCCACAGAGCCCTCGGTCTTCCAGCCAGCCTTCCGCCTGGACCGGAGGTCAACAATCTGCACCTGAAGGAGGGGAGGAGGATGGACTGTTGTCTCAGATAGCAGAGCCCCCCCTTCCCCCCACCCTGGAAGCCCTAGCTGCCCCTGGGGGGGGGGACAGGATTGTGCCCTTAATAAACGAAGAGGTTTGCAGTCGCTGGAGAGGAAAGAAAATGAAGCGGACAAAGCCTGTAAGGAGGGCTCCTAGAGTGACCGGCCCACCAACCAACAACCCACTGGGCATCTCTGCCCCGGCCCCAACTTTCCACCGAGGACTAACAGAAATGTGCAAAGAATATACTCAGCAGTTTTTGAAGCAGGCAGTGAAAGAAAGAAAGAAAGAAAGAAAACGGAGCTCCGGCAGGCAGGAGTCTCTCAACTTCACAGCTTCCACGTCTCGGAGAGGGGGGAGACGGGCGATGGCGGTCAACAGAGAGAGAGTCCCCATCCATTCTCTTGGTTTAGCCCATTCTAGGTCCAAGCAGCCGGGCGGAGCCTGTGCTTTCGGAGAAGCAGGAAAAGGTATTTTTTTGTTCTAGGTATGCTGCAGTCTCTTAGGAGAAGTTCATCAAAGCAGCGTGCATCGAAAGAAGCTGCTCTTCTTCGACCGGTTCTCTGTGATTTTCACGGGCCCGCTCGCCCCTGCCGAAATGTTGTCATTCTAGGGAGAGGCGAGAAGGAAAAGGAGGGCAGGTTATTAAGAGGTAAAGGGTGAGGCGAAACACCCTCAAATTCCAGGGGAAAGCAGCTAGGAGATTGCCCGGGAATCCAAGCGCTTATTTGTAGGTTTCTTTTTAAACTCTGCCAGGGTACCAGGTGAGGTTTTTTAAAAAAACCTCTATAACTTTTTTTTCCTGAAACAGGAGAGAAATGTAATTCAAATGAAATTCAGAAAAATGTCAGGAGTTCAGAAGGTACCAACGAAGACATCAGCCCGCATTGTGACGGAAGCAGCCATGGAAAATGCTTATGTAAATCTCAGTCGGGCAGGAAGAAGCCCCACTTGATCATGCTTCCTGCACATGGATTCTGCCTGTGGCCTTTTCTATTATCTGGCAGGTCGGGGAACAATCGGGAAAAGAAATTACATGTTTTAGTTTGAAGGAGCCACTGAAAAAGAGGACGAGTTTGGTTTGTTCACGGTCAGTCCAGGACATTTGGGGAAATCAAAAGAATACAATTCTTGATCTGAAAGGGAAGGAGGAAGGCAGAGACCAGCAATCCTTTTGCAAGCTCACACAACTGCTGTTTGCTGCAGTTGCCGTGTTTCAAGACGGTTGTGCAGGAGGTCTCGCTGAGAGATTGCGCAAGCACTTTGGCCTGATCCTCACCTCCAAAATACAAACTATTTTCTGGGCAAACAGGAGGGAAATCCACAATCCTCACAGGCAGATTGGAAGAGCTCAAGGCTGCGTAGAGTCAGGCCAGGCCTGCTGGCCTAGCCCTGAGGATTGCTGGCCTAGCCCTGAGTTCGGGTCCCCCTGCTGGCAATCCAGGCTGCCCCAGGAGGACTGTCTGACCTCCATCAGATACCCCTGCAAAGGGTTCCAAATGTACCCACTGAATAAAGCGGAGCAGCTGCTGGAGGCGGCCGGGAGAGATGCTGACAGCAGAGGGCGGGGCTGATGGGCTGTCAACCTCTGCAGCCCTGTCTGACAGCTGGGATGTCACGTTTTCAAGTTTAGAGCTTACAGATACATAACGTAATGTGTGTGTGTAACATATGAAAATGTGTTTTTTTAATGTAATGTAAATATATCATAGTGTCCATTGATTTTATTGCTTTTGTGTAATTTTAACTCCCATTGGAATTTCACATAGTTTGAAATGGTTGTTCATTATGCTTTATTATTGTAATGCTTTATTATTGTATTGGCATTACAATAATAAATAAAGATCAAATAAATCTTTGCCTTGCCAACTGTTGTTAGTTTTTGCTTGTTAATTTTGATTGTGGCTGGAGTGCACCAGGGAGGGGTGTGTGTGTGTGTATAAATCTTTCCTTGCCAACTGTTGTTAGTTTTTGCTTGTTAATTTTGATTGTGGCTGGAGTGCACCAGGGAGGGGTGTGTGTGTGTGTGTGTGTTTTCTCTTTTTGTACCAGGTGAGGTGAGGGGCTCATTAAGGCGGTGACCTGCGGATTCAATGCTCCCAATCCCTCCACAGCTGGACAGCACAGATGGTCAGATGCTGCCCTTTTAGGGAGAATTTTGATTGGCTGTTAAGGTAAGCTTTGAATTGCTTAGGCCAGCAACCCCTTTTAGTCCCCGCAAAGTGCAGAAGCCACACTAATCAGGATATATTAGTACCAAAAGAAACCAACCATTTTTTTGTTGAGTTTTGTCATAATATCCCGTGCAAGGGTGAAGAAAGCCTGGAAGGAAGAGAAAAGATACGATGAGATCCAGATAATTCATTAATTAAATTATTAAATTTAAACCGATAGGCCACCCAACTCCAGTGGACTTCAGACAATTACTTCGGAGTGCAGAATGAAGTCCTTCAATTGCCTTTCTCAAATTTTGAGCTTTGAATTCCAACCAGAAATCAATCTTTCTCTCCAAACACCCCTGCTGGCACCCCACCCTTGCCAGGGAGGGATGGGAAAGGTTTACGCCAGGAGGGGGTTGCAGTGGGCGTCAGCCTTGCCCCCCAGAAGGCAGAAGCCCTGCAGAAGAGTTGAGGGATCTGCTCTCTACCATGGAAGGACAAAGCAAACAGGCCGATGGAGCCTGTCCCTGGAGGGAGGGGGGCTGGTCCCCCGTGTGGATGGGCTGGCTCTCGTCCCCCCCGCCCCCCTTTTCACTGAAGAGGCCAGGGGGTGCTGAATCAAGTCTTGACCACAGAGGGACAGACTTTCCGGTCCTCAGACAAGCAGCAGCAAGGAGGTCTTGAAATGCTTCAGAGGCAGAAAGAGGGAGGGGGGCCAACTTCACAGCTGCAGGCCCAACTCCTGCTGGCCTCTACGTTGTGCTTACCTCTTCCACGTTGATACTGGACTTTGCACTGGTTTCCAGAAATTTGATGCCATAGTCAATTGCTAACTGCAATATGAAGATTTCAACAAGCAATCAGATTCAGCGATTCCATAAATGGAAAGTCTGAAGGCAAGTTTTGACACTTGGACCGCTTACATTCTTCAGCTGGGGAACAAGGAAACCTGTCTGCAAAACTATCTCTGAAGACAAAACGGGGTGGGGGCTCTGGTGGCCCCTTTCTAACTACTTTTATGAAAAGGCCGCAGTTCAAGAAAGCTCCTGCCTTTTCATCACATTTGTCAGGAAAGATGCTGCCGAAACCCTCCTGATTTTTTGCCACTCCAGACTGCCACTGTTCTTCCCCCCCCCCAAGAAAAAGGCAGCTCTGATATTAGAACCTCTGTTTTCATGAGATTTACCTTTTCTCCTTTTTCCTTCGAAACTTGCCTTTTCTCATTCATGTCAGATTTGTTGCCCAGGATCATCCTTTCCACATCCGAAGAAGCGTGCTGGGTGAAGAGAGGAGAAACGGGAGTTAAGAAAAGCAGCCTTACGATGCCCTGCCATGTTCTGGACCGAAAGCCTTGGGAGGGGGTCTGTCCAAAATTATCTTCCTGGAGGCTGAGTTTTGTAAAGCCCTCCTTTTAAAGTCTGCTTTGCTCACAGGCTGCACGGAGGGGTAAACAAAGCTTCAGCACTCGGAGGAGGAGGAGGAGAGGAAACGAGCGAGGCCCCAGCCCAAACCTGAGCAGGATTCCTGCCAACAGGAGAGGAAATGTGGAATGCCGTGACTCAAGGAGGAAAAACAGACAATGGAAGCTCGAGCCCCCTTTGTGTTAGCTGGTCCTTGTTTTAGCTTTCTGCCACAGAAAAGCTCTGCGGTGGGGGTCCTCAGCTAGTCTCTCCCAAGAAAAAAGAATCAATCTATTTCTCTCTCCCCCCCCCCCAGCCCTTCTGTGTCTTGTCTACATGGGACCCTGCAAAAGCCCCCACGTCTCTTTCCCTTCCAGGCACACCTACCTCTTCAATGTTCCTGATCCAGTTTTTAATATTGTCAAAAGACTTTTCATTGGTGATATCGTAAACCAGCATTATCCCCTGGGGGAAAAACAAAGAGTGCAGCCACCATCACTCCACAGTGGCTACAACAGATCTTCCTGCGTCGATTAAAACAAGCTTCATCCCTCCTCAACCATCCCCAGGTCAACTGTGGATATCTAAGTTTGTTAACTGAGGTGTTCACTGCAAATTAAAAAGCCAGCCTTCAGATGCAGCCATCGCCTCCTTTTCTTCTGTTGCAGCAATTTCATCAAAGATCTAGTTTGACCTCTTGGTTTCAGTCTGAGACCCTGGCAAGCCCCCTGGAAGGGCAGAAGCAGAATGCTCCCCCTCCTCTGTGCTCCAGCCTCCGGATCCTTCCGCTGCAGATTGAAAGGCCCTGCCCACCCCGGCCCCCACAGGCCCCACCCTGCCCATCAGCCCATCCCACGGCTTGGGCTCTGCCTTCCCCTCAAAATCCACCCCGGCTTTCCAGGAGGGAGCAGAAATAAGAGAATGTCAGGCTGTTGGGGAAGGAAGGCAGAAGAGCCTCTCCCCCTCCCCCCAAATGCATTCAGGCCCTACGTTTCCCCACAGAACCCACCCCTAAGCTTTAATGGCCTCCTGAAGATTCCGCTTCTGCGTCAACCATTTCTGACTTTTTCTGCAGTGTGTTCATCGGCTACTTCCCAGGTTTGGCCAGAGAGAAAGTCAGCAGCTGTAAACAGCCCCTCCGCAACCTCAGAGAGGGGGCCAAGCACTTTGGAAGTACTGCTGTCGCAGGTCGCTCGCAGTTCCCTTCCTGCTCGTGAAACCTCAACTTTTCTTAATGATGCCACCCTTATGGGCCTGGGGGGGGGGACTCGAGAAAGGCAGGGCCTCAGACTCTGCTCCTCCCGAGCAAGCCCACACGTGGCTGGCCTGCCGTGGAAAATGGGCTGCGGCGGGGTGAGTTTAGGTGAACTTCTCACAAAGGCAAGCTTGAGAATGCACACTCACCATGGCACCTCTGTAGTAGGCTGTTGTGATGGTGCGGAATCTCTCCTGGCCCGCCGTGTCCCTGAAAAGCAAGATACATCATCAAACTGAGGCGGGGGGGGGGGGAAGAGGAGAAATCATGCTTCATCCCCTTCCCAGGCACCCCAACGATGCTTCACTTTTTGCTTGGCCCTGGCACACAACTCTACCCACAATCGGGTTGAGCATAGCCTGGAACCCAACCAAGTTGCAGACTGAAGGCCAACCCCACCCGAGGGTCTGACAAGCCAAAAGGTTCTAGAATGCAGTTTGCAGGTCAAGCCTTGATTCCTCCCCAAGTAACCCCCCTCCCTGGAGTTAGGCCTTGTGCACGTTCCTCTCGCTCGGTCTGATTTCCATTAAATGCTGATTAAATGGAGCTTTAAATCCAGATATCTTGGACAAAATCCAAAACGGTCAAGAAGGCCAAACGTCTGCCACACCCAAAGAGGCCTCAGGCTACGTTGCCCCAGCTCTGATGTCTTCAAAGATACTTTTGCATGGAGTTTCAGAAAGGAAGACCTCCACTCTGGGAGCTCCCACCTGTGTCCGCAAGCCAGTTGCGTTTTGATCACTTACCATATCTGCAGTTTGATTTTCTTCCCATCTAGTTCTATTGTTCTGATTTTAAAGTCAATTCCTAAAAAGATAAAAAATAAAAAGGAGGGGAATCACATTAGGGCTCTGTTCTGTCTTGCTGCAACGCTCTCCCGCATCCGAGAATTCAGAACAAGCAAAGCACCTTCGGGATCAAACCCACCAAAATATCCACCACCCTTAATTAAGTGAATTCTGTCTGAACTGTTCCAAAACAAAAGTCTCTGTTTAAATTAGTGGTAACTCCAGTTCCGTTGAGGATATAAAGAACTCAAATTAAACTACAGTTCCACCTTGCCTAACATTCCTTTTTTGCAAATGGGACTTTTTTTTTTAGCAGAGATGCAGTTGTACCCACAAATATGTTTTTGTCTACACACAGGGAAAAGAAATGTACAATTTTGTAGCTACAAAAGGAATTTTGGATAATTCCCCAGAGCTCAGCTGGTTTAAATATCTCTATAACCCGGTGGATGGATTCCAGCGTGAGGCCTGGTGGAGTTTTCTTTTCTTTTTTTTCCCTTTCAGGGCGACAATGGAAAGTCTTACTAAAGCTTGCAGCTCTTTGCAAGGGGCTGTCGTGAACCACCCACTGACGCTTCCTCCCTTCAGCAACAGGAAGTGGTGTGCTGCTGCATCCATTCGCACCAGAGGTCTGCTGACTGGTTGCTGCTTCCGGAGGAGCAGGTTGCAAGACACGCGAAACAGCCCAACGGAGAGCAGAGCTGAAATTTTGACTCAGGTAGCAGCTTGACTGTTTTCTTCCGCAAGCAAATACAGAGTTGCACAAAGATGTGAAATTGGAGTGTCTGTCTGAATGCCTTGGGCCACTAGGCCAATGTTGGGCCACTAGGCCAATGTTGGGCCACTAGGCCAATGTTGCTCAACATTGGCAGCTGGAAGGAAGATGGCTGGTTTTCCACTCCCAGAATTCCCCAGCCACCATGGCTGGCTGGGGGATTCTGGGAGCTGAAGTCCACCATTCTGAGAAACACTGCACTAAAAGAAGGCTTAATTTTAAGGGGAATGCAAACTCAAGGCCTTGGCTAGTCACCGCTCCTAGAGCAACTCCAAATTCTGATGGCTTGCCAAGGATCTGACAGACAGACAGACACGGATCAGAATGGATACGTGTGCAGTGAAAGGTCCCCACGTTTTCTCTATAGCTTCCAAGCCTTTCGGAACAGCAGATTCCACTGAAACACAGCAGAGGCTCCCCCCAGGTTGGAGGCCCTGCCTCATGCATTCAAAAGGGTCAAGTGCTTCCCCAGCAGAAGCTGGACACCCCAGGTCCTGAGAAACAGGACTCCCACGTGCCCTGGGCAAAAGTGGCGGAATTAGGCCAAGACCTGGAAAGAAGGGCGAGAGGCTAACCAATGGGCACTGACCGTCCCGCTGCCAAAGGGGCTCCAGAAGGGAACAGCTGGGCTTCCGCACTGAGCTTGTATCAGCCAACCCTTTTCTGAGTCAAGCAAGATTAATATTTCCGTAGAACAGAATGTCCACTCTCAATTAGGGCAAAGTGAAGGTTTTCTGAGAATGGAGCTCGACGTCTGCTGACCGCAGAGAGAAGGATGTGAATTTTCTTAGCAATAATACGGAAGTGGCTTTATTGCCTCCTTCCAAAACTGTTTAAATTTCCCAGCCAGGTCTATAGCTTGAGGATTCCCAAAGACTTTGCATCCAAAGGGCACACAGGCCTGTGGCTGGCCGCTATCAGAAGTGAGCATAACACTCCCTGCATTTGTGGGGGCATGAAAGGGTTGGCTTGCCTTGAGCCTCCTCCCTCCAGCAGCCACCTAGGTGGGCTTCTCTCGGGCCCCCTCCTCACCACCACCTCTGGTGCGAGGCTGCGTTTTGGAAAAGAGCTCAAGGTTAACAGGAAAAAAGGGGAGCCCCCTCTCTCCCCAGCATTGAAAAGGAACACTGCTGATGCAAACAGAGTCCACACAGGGAGGAATTTGCAACAAGAACAAAGACAGCCTTTGATTGAAGGAATGCAGGTCAAGGAAGAGCACGATTCTTCCCAAGCTGCCTTCCTGCAGCCTCAGCCTTCACGCTGTGTTTCCCCACGTAGCAGTTCCAGGCTCAGGAGTCCCTGTTCTGGTTGGGGCTGAAAGTCCACTTTTCCCACTCAGAGATATGACCATTCGCTTTCCGCTTAGGGCCGGGGTGGGCAACTACGGCAACTTTATGACCTGTGGACTTCAACTCCCAGAATTCCTGAGCCAGCCATGCTGGTTCAGGAATTCTGGGAGTTGAACTCCGCAAGTCGCCATAGTTGCCCATCTTTGGCTAGGCTTTCGCTGCAAACAATATACTTTCAATTTCCAGTCTGTCCATCAACAAGCTGGTAAAAAATTACAGCTCCTTTTAAAGACTCTGAATTTAATGGACGAGGAGACAGCAAAGGTCCTGGAGGGGAAGTTTTATCCTTGCAGGATGCAGGCTTTCGATCTGGCTGCCCTCTTATGAGAACCAGGGCAATCAACCCACAAAGTGCACGATGGGACCGCAGCTGATGTGAGAGGAGGAGAGGAGCCTCGGTCTGTGGCTTTCTGACAAGAGGCAAGGTTTTGTGAGGTGCAGCCTCCGAGACACAGAGTGGCGTGACCGACATCTGACGAAGGGAGGTGCGTGAAGGATGATTTGCTGGTTTCAATTATGTTTTGAAAAGCTTCAAATATGCTAAGTGCCATAGAAAGGATGGTTTCATTGGCTTTCCAGATATTGTCTGTCATGCCCTGCTGTGCCGACCAGTTGTTGCATATTCACACAGGAAGCCTTGGGCCTGCAACCTTGACTGAGCTGGAAATTACAGTCATAAATCATTGCGGTCGTAAATCGAAGCACCCATGTGACCAGAAGCAATTTTCCAGCCTTTTTCATTAAGTGAATGTGGCGGTTTTTAAGCAAGCCAATTTACCCTAAATGGGTTTTGCCAGAAAATGGCAAAAACATCATGAGTCGTGGTCACGTGACCAGGGACAGCCACAACCAGTTGTAGATTTGCCCTGTTTGGAATCTGCTGGGGAAGCAAACATTTGACATTATCAAATATAAAAAGGGCCTGCATGACAGTAACTGGGCTTCTCATAGAGATCAGCACTAAGGGAACACCACACTAGAGACCCCAACCAGATAGGTAGCCCAGCGCATGCGGTCTGAAACACAGCACCTATCCCTGATGCTGTACAACAGATACACCACACACAGCCATCTGGCCTGCCACTCTGACCTTTGGAGACATTTCCACATTTCCTCTTATTCCACAGACACAAAAATCACACAGAGGTTTATTCTGCTTTGGAAATGTCTCCCAGGTAGTATGAGATAATTAGTTCCTTGGCTTCAGGGAACTGGGTGACAACCTAGAAAAGGACCCACTGCTGGGCTCTGTTTCTCTGAACCTCATCATGGTCCAAAGTTGCAAATAATCTGTTTACTAGCCTCTCAACTGCAAATTCCTGAAGATGGAAGAATGAAAAATAAAAAACTCGTTAAACTTGGTAAGGCATAATTAATCCTGTCGCAGACAAAGGATTGGAAAAATGGGCACAGATGTTCTATTCTTGTATCCTTACACTCCTATGAACTACAGTAATTAATGACTCTGAATGGTACCCAGAAATACACTGGAAGCCGATGTAGCTCCCATAGAATAGGTGTTATCCGTTGAGGTATTTTTGAGCCATCTGTACTTTCTACGTAGCCTTCAAAACCAGCCCAATTCATGAGTTGGGTTCAAGCAGCACTACTTTACTGCAGAGCCTCCCCCTGTGGCCCAGGCACTCCAAAACTCAGTATTTTCTTCAAACTGGGCCATAGCAATTTTACTCTGAAATGTACACTTCAAAGGGACAGTCCTTGTGGAAGAAAGACTCAGAATTCCACTTCTAGATTATGCCTTAACAGCCCAATTGCTAGCTACAGATGCACAAACATGGTGGATCGGATCACTTTTCTAGAGGGAAGCAGTGGGATCCTACTTAGAGCTTAGGATCTCTCTCCTCTTTGACATAGGCTGGCCAAGCCCTGGCATTGCATCAGATTATCTGGTGGCCTTTGTCCGTCCTAATTTGTCAACCTAGACCTAGTCCTAGACCAGTGTTTCTCAACCTTGACAATTTTAAGGCATGTGGACTTCAACTCCCAGAATTCCACCAAAGGAGCAGAGAAGTAATCCGATATTGTTTAATACACATCATGGCATGGATTTCACACTGTCCACCTCAGCAGAATTGCAGGCAGGGGAAACAAATTCCTAAAGATGGGAAAACATTCCCAGGAACCACATCCAGAAACGACACTGCTCCGGGAGCGCTGTCCAATTAAAGGAACTGACACGTTCTCCATTGTCTTGTGAGGCTCCTTTAAGAAGGATGTTGCTAACCGGATTCCTCTTCAAACTATCAAGTCACGCAATTGTTGCATGGCACTATCCCAGTCCAGCAGAGAACTCTCAACAGCTGGAAGGTTGTTCAGAGAGAAATTCAGGCATGCAATCACTTTCCATCAAGATGCCTTAGGACTCCACTGTGACTTCAGCAGTGTGGAATTCAGGGATAGGAAGTTCATAGGACCGACCGATTTCTCTTCTAACAGAGAATGAGTTTTCCCTTTAAGAGACGCCTGTGTTTGGCATCTATGGAGCATTCTTCTCCCCCTTTGGAGAGGTCCAGGTCAGATGCTAAAAACAAGTCAGATTCATCCTTTTTATCTGGAGCATCAGGACCGCCCCCCTCCAGCCTTTGAGTCAGAATAAGATTGAGCATCAAGCTCAAAAATAGCGTGGCAAAAAAAAAAAAGACAAATCCCGTTCTTTAAGAGGTAGATTAGAACAGAAAACTTTATGTTTTACTACCGGAGAAGCTGAATATCCTAGTAAGATCAACAGAGATGTCGAATTCTGTATGCATATTGCAGCACAATTCTGGAAAGACACTCCACGGCTCTAAAGGAAAGTTCAAATGGATCTACTTAAGACGGTAATCATTCTGGTGCTCTGGTCATTACCTAAATGTGGTTAATATAAATTGGTCT